AGAGAGAGAGAGATTATTGAGTTTCTTGAACCATATAATAAGATGATGACGAGGACTGAATGTAGCGAGGTTTAGTGTTGTTTTCAACAATGTCTATTCTTTCTCTCGCAAATGCTTCCCAGATCTTCTTCCTTTCTTGCAATGTCAACTTGCGATGCATGACCTGACTTCAAACTTGCGATTGCATCGGTGAATGTGCAAGGTTGTAATTCTCTCTCTCTCTGTCTCTTTCTTCCTCTGCCATTCTCTCTGTGTCGCTTTTTCTCTTTCTCTCTCGCTGTTTCTCTTCCTCTTCCTGTGGGCTCTTCCTGCCGATATCAAGGAGGAATTGGACCAGTCTGGCTGCAACGGTGTATATACAGGTCTCTGGATCTTTAGGAAAATCTTTCGTATCTCCTACTCTGTAACTAGAAGAACTGCTCCGATCTACAGCACTTTCTTTGGCCTCTGGATGATGGACGATTGGCAACCATAGCTGTCGTCTTCTTCCTCTTCTCGTACTGTCTTCTCTCCTGCGAAGTGTGATGCTGTGATATTTCTGTGCACCCAACGCACTGCTACTACTGCTACTCAGCTGGCACTTGGTGTTAACTGGGAGCGTTTTACGTTTCTGTGAGGGAGGTCTGTAGCAGTAGTGTGGAGCCTGTGAAGTTGTGGAGGGAGGAAAGGTGGTCTGCCGTCCTGCCGTCACATGAATCACATACCTGGTTTGCATTCCACTTCCTCAAGTGCCTGAAGACGCTTTTGCTTGAGATTTCAACTTCCTGCACTCAGCAAGGACATCTTTGGTTAGGCAAGGATCTCAAGTGCCTATCGTCCTCACCCGGATAGAACCCCTGATCATTTTGCTGCATCTGGACTGAAAACTGTGCCAAATACAGCTATAACGACCAGGCGTTCTGTTCGGGTGAAGAATGTAGGAATGGTTACAACATTCTGTAGACCGAGAAATAATTATTGATCACCACTTGCCTGCCATCCTTCTTGGTGACAAAGTGCTAGGAAGGCCCGTTTCAGCCACCATCGTTGTCCTAGGAAGATAGAGATGAAGGTTACTATGGAGCATAGAGGCAAAATCTTGTGTCTATTAGCAGGTTATGCTGCTGATGTGCGGGAGGACGACTGACATATGGGCTACGATGGCTGGTCATGTTCTCTCTCCTCTGGCCCCCAGCTGTTGTCGCAGCCATAGCTCCCATCTTCCATGCTCTTCCTGCCTTCTACGTTGACATTTTTCTGGCTACTGGGATCTCATCTATTAGGAGTTTATGCGGTGGAAGGACTACTGGGGTGGCAGGTCATCTTCTCTCTCCTTTGCCTCCAGCTACTTTGGTAGCCGTAGCTGCCATATCCCGTTGTCTTCCTGCCTTCTCCCTTGACATTTTCCTTCTCAACTGTGGTGCTGCTCAGAAGATGACATTTCCCTTGTCATCTTCTCAGGGCGGCCTTTCCTATCTGGCATTTTGGGGTCTCTGGAAGTGATGATGCTGTTTCGGCGGACATCTGCATGTCTCGCTTTGGAAGAGAAAAGAGTATAGCGAAAAGAGTATAGGAAGAGGAGCGAGGTATTCTGAAGTAGGAAGACTGTGTACCCCATTTGCTGCTCAGACTAATGCAGTTGTTCTGCTAGAGCTTAGAAACTGAGTTCCCTGTTGTTGCGTGATGGCAGTAGGGAGACATCAGCAAAAGCATTTCTTTGGGAACTGTGTACCGAGTTTTGCAGGTGGTTTCTTTCAGAGAGACGAACGGATGACCTTTGCGAGAATTGTTGTGGTGTCCTAAGGGATGGGTGAGCGTATTGCACTCTGGCATTTGGCCAGGACAACTTGCGGCTAGCCGTTGTTCTGATGTTCTAAGGGATGGGAGGGCGTGCTGACTGGGGCATCTGGCCAGGACAACTTGTGGGTAGCCATGGACTAGGTTGCAAACTAGGTTGTGCTCGCTGACTGCACTGCATGGAACATACACTTGCCTTACCTGTCTGTAGTCTTTAAAAGCCATTAAAAGCGGTGAAACAAAAACACGCAACGGGAAGACAAAAGGAAAAGAAGAGACGAGTAGATAGACATCAAAACAAGATGGCCCTTGATGTCTGTGATGAACCACAAATCGTGCATATCTATATTTTTAGTCAAACACACACACACACACACACACACACACACACACACACACACACACACACACACACACACACACGCACACACACACACACACAC